GAGGAGGTTGGTGGGCGCATCCTCCGGCTCCCAAACCCAAGGGCCCCTCTCCAGGAGGGAAGGAGGATCCTTGGCTGGAGTGCGATCCCACCTTGGGGCAGTTCAGGGCTCAGCATTCTCCCGCGGGAGCAGGACCCTGATGTCACCTGCCCGCTCTGTCCCCTGCAGGTCCCGATGGCGCCGGGCCGGGCTGTGCTGGTGCTGCTGGTGGTGCTGGTGCTGAGCCCCCCGCGGGTGTGCGGGGCTGCGCTGGAGCCGGGGCCGGGGCAGCCCCAGGGCGGGCAGTGGCTCTGGGGGGCGGCCAGGCGGGCGCTGCCCCTCTCCCGCGGGAAGAGGGACGATGGTGAGCAGGACCTCGGTGCCACCGCAGCCACACCGGGGCACAGCCACGCTGCCACCGCACTGATCAGCAGTGACCAGCCCAAGGGCGGCTCTGTGCCACCACCAGCACCCGGCACCAACGCCAGCCTGCTCCAGGTGCCAACCACAGCCGATCCCGTGGATGAGACTGATTCCCCTGATCCCGACCTGCTCCTGAGCTCTGCACCACCACCAGCAGTGCCTGGCAGCAACGTCAGCCTGCTCTGGGCACTCACAGTGTCAACCACAGCTGATCCCATGGATGAGACCGACTCCCCCAATCCCGACCAGCTGCTGAGCTCTGCACCACCGTCCCCCAGCACCAACACCAGCCTGAACCAGGCACTCACAGTGCCAGCCAGAGCCACTCCCATGGATGAGACTGATTCCCCTGATCCCGACCAGCTGCTGAGCTCTGCACCACCGTCCCCCAGCACCAACGCCAGCCTGAACCAGGCACTCACAGTGCCAGCCACAGCCGCTCCCATGGATGAGACTGATTCCCCTGATCCCGACCTGCTGCTGGGGCCTGGCACATCGGCTGCTCCCCAAAGGAGCATCAGCACCACCCCCAGCTGGCTCACACCACCTGGCAAGGAGGGGACAGTGGCTGGTGGCACGGACAGCACCTCCTCCACAGGGCCACCCTCAACAGCCCCCCCAACCCTTGGCCCCACCACCACGGGGTACGGGAAAGTCAAGAAAGCTGGAGCTCCCCCTGCACCGACCCGTTCGGCCCCTGGGGACACGACACCGACGGGCACCGCGGTGCCCTGGGACCCCAGCGGGGTGATGGGCAAGTGCCTGCTGGCCATCCTGCTGCTGGGGCTGGTGGCCGCCACCTTCCTGGTGAGCACGGGGGTGCTGGGGGCGCTGCTGTGGCGGCGGGCGCGGACGGGGCACCGCCGGCTCAGCCGCACCGAGATGGTTTGTATCTCGTCCCTCTTGGCCGACGCCGAAGCGGCCGCGGGGCCCCGGCCTGTCCCCGCCCGGCGGCACAAGCGGCTGCACGACGGCAGCGCCGAGCCCGACGGGGACAACCTGACTCTCAGCAGCTTCCTGCCGGAGCAGTCCTGAGCCCCGGGATGGGTCCTGCATCCCGCAGTGCTGGGGGACCGGCGGCAGTGCCAGGGGCATGTGCCTGATCCCCAGGCGAGCCACAGGCAGGGGACTCCCGTCCCCTCGGGTTCATGTTTTCGCTTGGACCGGCGTGATGGAGCCGCTTCCCCCGCGGCGAGCTCAGCCCTCGAGGCTGATCCCATTAAAGTGTTACGCGGACGCGGTGGTCTCTTCCTGGCAGGGACAGCGCCCGCCAGCCCCAGGTCCCTCCCCGCCCCGTCGCCTGCCCACATCCCGCTGCCGAAATTTCGCTTCTCCATCCTCCTCCCGCAGCCCCCCGGGGGAGCAGAAATGAAACCCGCGGCCACCCCTCGCCGGGCAGGGGCCAGACCAGGGGCTTGGGGACCGCAACTCCCGGTACCCCTCCCCGGTGGTCTCGGCCTCGTGGGCGCTGCAGGGGCGGCGGGGCCGGGGCGGAAATGCCGGGGGGGAAGGGACGGGACGGGACCGCTCGTGGCTCAACGTGTTCCTGCCTGCGGTCGCTGCAGCGACGGCTCGGGGCTGTGGCTGCCGATCAGGTGCTGCTGCTGCTGCCGGAGCACCGCAGGGCTTCGGCCTCATCCAGCGGTGCTGGCCCTGGCTGTCTCTGCCTGCCCGGGACTGGGAATGGAAGGGATGGGGAGAGCAAAGCCATCAGCAGCCAACAAGAGTCCCACCGGGGTTGGAAGGGGCTCAGGTTTGCTCCCAGGTCCCACCTCCCCCCGTGTGCAGGTGTCAGTCACCCCTCGGGTCACCAACTGGCCCCCTCCCTGTGCTCAGTGGTGAGGGAGCCACTCAATGGAGCAGAAGTGGCCAAAGACTGTCCCTGCCCTGTCAGTCTCAGTGTCCCCATCTTCCCATCCCTGTTCCACCTGGGCTCAGTATCCCCATCCCCACATCCCCATTCCTGCCATGGCCAGACTCAATGTTCCCATCTCTCCATCCCCACCCCTGCCCTGACAGATTCAGCATCTCCATCCCCACATCCCACTGCTTTATCCCCATCCCCATATCCCCAAGTTTGCGGCCTCCTCGAAGGCCCCCCTGGGGTGTCCATCTGGGGGTCTCCCAGCACAGTGTCCCACCTGCACCCCAGCCCCACTGTCTGTTTACATTCACACTGTGCTTGGGATATTTTCCATCTGGCTCCTGGCAGCTGCACAGCCCTGATCCTGCCGGGAATGTAAATGTTTATGGGTGAGTCACTGGGTGACTGACCCGCATCCGCTGGCCAGGGCTGGTCCCCAGGTGGGACACCCTGTCCGTGGTGATGCCACCCTGCTCTGTCCCACTGTGTCCCCATGCAGGTGGGTACCAGGCCCTTGCCAGGCAGAATATCCACAGGAGGGATGCTCCCATTATCCATCTCCACCCCGCAGTGGCTCATCCAGCTCCTGCCCCCACTCCAGGTGAGGATGAGGCCGGTGTCTCCTGAGGAGGTGGGGGGATGTAGGTTGGAGAGGTTGTTCCTGCTCTCCCAGCCCTGCACCGACTGCTCTGGAGCAGGAGCCCAGCGAGGATAAACTTTCCTCCACCGCTGGAGCTGCCAGGAGCTGGGAATCGCCCTATTTGGAATCGTCAGCAGGTCCTGTGGGGCTGCCACTGCCCAGCTCACGGCACAGGAATCTGCGGGAAGCCGGGGCGGTGTCACAGCAGGATCCTCAGGCAGCGGGAGGGCAGCGTGTGGTGGGTGGCACAGGGCCGTGGGTGGCACCGGGCTGTGGGTGACACGGGGTGGAGGGTGGCACAGGGCTCCTCCCACCACGTGCAGCTCCGCAGGATGGGTCCCCTCTGAGTATTTTGCTGGCACAGCAAAGCTCAGCCCCGGGAGGTAAATTAGAAGCAGAGCGGGGCCGAAATCCCTCAAATTGCAGGTTCCCCGGGCGGGCGGTGCCGTCGTGCCGAGCCCTGCGCGGCCCTGCGTTCCAGCGGCCCCAAATTACACGGCGGGTCGGGCGGTCCCGGCCCTGCCCAGCTCCGAGGGGCAGAGCCAGCGCCCGCCGCAATCAAAAACGGCATCGTAATGGCCCGTGGGCGCTGGCATCGAGACTGCCCGGCTCGGGAGGGATCCCGGCGGGGAGGGGGGAACACTGGGCGGGGGGGAGGGGGATCCTGGGCGAGGAGGAACGGAAACCCTGGACAAGGAGGGATGAGACCCTGAGCAGGGTGAGATGAGGACCCACAGTGATGGGGACCCTGGGTGACGTGGGATGCAAACCTGGGACAAGGAGGAATGGGAACCCTGAGCTAGGAAGGGTGCGGACTCTGGATGAGGAGTGATGTGGACCCAGGGCAGACTGGGATGGGGATCCTGGGTAAGGGGACTCAGCCCAACGCCGGCATCGCTGGGTGCATGGAATGGGGAATTTCAGCCCCATCCCCATCTGGGCTGCAGGAGCGAGCACGGATGCCTCTGGAACTCCACTCGGCCGCAGCCGCTCACCCCCGCCACGGCCTCCCCTCGCTTTTCCCCCTTCCCCTCTAAGATTTCATCACTGAGCACTTAAGGCCGGGAACAGCCGCCCCAGCAGCTGCTCGGAGCCGCGGCTGCAGCCAGACGGACGGACCGACCCGTTATTTCGGGAGCCGCGCCGGCGGCAGGACCTCAAACGGCGCCACTTCCCGCGGGACACGGGGACAGACTCCCTCGGCCCCGCGGTCCCCGGACGCTGGCGGGGGCTTTTTGGGGGGTCTGGCAGGTCCCCAGGGAGGAGCAGAGGAAAATAGCAACAGGATGAGGTCACGCAGCGGCTGCAGCCTCTTGAGCAACCTCAGCCCGGGCCGAGGGACCAGGATGGGAGGAGGCAGAGCCCCGGCGGGTGGGGGGGCCCAGGCGACGCCCCTGGACCCCCAGACTGGAGACCACATCCTGGGGAGCTGCCACGTTGGTCTGGGGAACCGCGGGGACCCCCAGCTTGTGCTCCTGCCTGAACTCCAGGGCAGAGGTGCCCGTGGCAGAGCATTTCCAGGCTGGGTTGTTTAGGAAATGGCCTCCTGAAATTACATAGGGGGTCCTAAGCCCAGTTTGCCCCACTGCCAGCCACCAGAGCACCAGTAATGCCAGAGCACCGAGCCCACATCCTTCTCTGCCCTCCTCAGACCCTCATATGGGGCTTTACCCACCCCCTTATGGATAAAAACACCTTTGCAACATCCCCCTTGTGTGATCCCCTTCCCCACTTGCACCCCAAAAAGCGGCCCCTTACAGTGGTGATGGTGAGCACCAGGGCTCCCGCCTTTTGCTGACAGGGAAAGAAAGCAGGAAACACCCCCAGCCCCAGCTGGATTTCGTCTGGGAGGGGGCTGGGGGCTGCCTGCCCTTCCCCGGCCTCCCACACCCCCTCCCCATCCCGGCCCTAATGAGAACAAGCTGGTCCTGGGCTGCGACGCAGGAGGAGGAGGAGGAGAAGGAGGAGGAGAAGAGGGAGAAGGAGGAGGCTCCATCCCAGCAACAGCAGAAAGGGGCTCGAGGTGTGTGGGACAGACCCTGCGTTCCCCTCTCCCTTCTGCCGACGCAGCAGCTGCAGGAGAGGTGAGGATCCCACGGCTGTGCCAGGCTGTCCCCGATTTTGGGGGGGCTCCCAGGGGGCACAGGCAGCCCTATGGCCGGGGGTGCTGCAGTGAGGGCTGGGCATGGTCCCCACGGCGGGACACGGGATGGTGTTGGCCACATGGCTGTGTTCCCGGGCGGGAGTCAGAGGGTGCTGTGCCCAGACCACACTGAAATCCCGAATTTCTGGAGTGTTTTGGGAGCAGAGAGAAGCAGAACTGGAGCCAGGAGCATTCTGTCGGTCTGGGTGGGTGAGGGTGGGCTGGGATGGGGTTGGGATGGGGATGGAGGACTGGCAGTGGCCGTGGTGCCAGGCCCTGCTCTTGGCACAGCTTTGGGCTCCACTCAGCCCCTCCATGGCCGGGGCTGCTCCTCAGCTCCGTTTGCTGACGGGGAATTGATGCCATCCCGGGACCCCTCTCCCTGCTGAGGGGCCCCTCTCTGCAGTGAAGGGGGAGGATGAAGGGGCTCATTCCAGCTCCCCAAAAACCCTCATCCTCATGGAGCTGGTTACTGCTCTGAGCCCAGCACTGATGCCTGTGTGAGCCGGGAGGGTTGGGGGTCCGGGGGCACCTCCTGCCTCTGCTGCCGTTTGTTTGCTCTGGTTTAATGGAAACCAGATTGTACAGCCAGGAAGGGGCCTGGAAGCCAAGTCCTGCTGCTCGATCCCTCCCGGCCCACAGCACTGCTGGGCTGGATTTGTCTGGGGGGAAATGGGAGGCAGGTTGAGGTTTGGGGGGCCTGAGGTTGGGGGGAATTGCTAGGGGGGGTAGTGGTCTCTGCTGATGGAGCTGGGGGGGGCTGGTTCCTGAGACCTTCCCATGGAGCCGTGTGGAGGGGAAGAGCCCTGGGAATGGCTCCGTGGTGTTACGTGGCGTGGCACGCGCCGATGTCCCTCGAGAATGTGTTGCGACGTGGTGGGGACGGTCACATCTCTCTCCCAAACCCCCTAGGGGCCATTCCTTTGGGATGGGAAACGTGTATCCCGTGTCCTACAGCACATCCTTGGGCAGACCCAACCCCATGGGGGAGTGGAGCACAGCACACAGATGTAGCTGGTCTTCCCCCTTCCCTGGGGACATTCAGGCAGCCGGGACCCCCAAGACCCCCCTTTACTGTGTCCCAGCTCCGGGGCTGCCCCTTGGTACAGGCTCCAGAGGGTCCCATCCCGGCTCCACTCGGCCGCCGCGGCGGCTCCAGGGTGAAATCCTGCCCCAGCCTATTTTTAGCTGGGAATGGTGTGTAACGGTCCAGGACGGGCAGTTGGGAAATGCCGCCCGGCCCCGTTGCAGCGTCGCTCGTGTCAAAGTTTCCACTGCAAACCTCCATTTTTCAGGAATTTTCTAATCAGCCCAATGACTGTTGTCTGGAGCTGGTCGCTGGCAGCAGCCCCGGCTCCCCAGCCTTGAGCAATCCCACTCAGCTCCTTCCATCTGGGTTTGCTCCGCATCCTCGGAAGACAAACGGAGCAAGAAAACCGGAGCTGCCTTTTGATTTCCACGAGGAAGTTCAGGCATGTGGAATAGCGAGTGTCGGAGTCCCCTGTGCTGGGGGGTTTGGGGTGGGGGCTGGCCTGAGGCAGGGTTTGGGGGGCTTGCTCCGTGGGGTGTTAATGTTCCACCCTCCCCTCTGCATCCCACAGGTCCCTGTGCATGATCCCGGGAATGGGGTCGGCGATGTGGCTGCTGCTGCTGGCACTGCTGGCGGCCCCAGCACACACGGCAGCCCCCCGGCACCCCCTGGTGCTGCCAGACACGGGGGGCAGTGGGGACGGGGATGAGGCATCGGCCACACCACCCGCCCCCCCGGCGACCCCCCGGATCAGCCCCACGGTGGGGGACGCAGGGGGGACCACCGTGACCAACAGCTCTGCCCCGGGAGTGCTGGACGGGCTGGTGGACTTCTTCAAGGAGTACCTGCTGCTGGTGGTGGTGGTGGGCTCGCTGTCCTTCGTGCTCCTCTTCATCATCTGCGCCGCCATCATCGTGCGCCAGAAGCACAAGGCCTCCGCCTACTACCCCTCGTCCTTCCCCAAGCAGAAGTACGTGGATGAGCGGGACAAGGTGGGGGGGCCCCGGGCCTTCAGCGAGGTGCCCGACAAGGCCCCCGAGCCGGGCGCGGAGGAGCCGCTGGACGGCAGCCGGCAGCTCCAGGCGGACATCCTGGCAGCGGCCCAGAGCCTCAAATCCCCCCCCAGGGCACCGCTGGCCAACGGGGCCCAGGCTGAGCAGAATCCCACCGGGGAAGAGGAGAAGGAAGAAGAGGAAGGAAGCAAGAAGTTGGCAGATGACCAACCTGCTAAGCCCTCTCCCCAAAATCCAGGCGTGGAGGAAGTGGCGGGAGCGACGGGAGCAGGGGGCAAGGAGACCCCTGACGTGCCCCAGGATGGCTCCTCAGCCCCCTCTGGAGTCTGAGGCAGGGACACGGTCCCGGGTGAGCCCAAGGAGCCGCCAGATTGGGACGCATGATGGACATGGATCAACGCTCCGTACGTACGTGGTGGCTCAAGGAAGCCCCGATGAAGATCCTGCTCCCTCACCCTCCCCAGCCCCCTTGAGCCCCCCTACCCTTGTGCCAACGGGACACTGTGGTAAATCCACGGGGTTTTTTGGTAGCCGCTGGTTTCCCCCAGGGCTGGAATGCCAGCAGCCCCTGCTCCTGCTGCCCAAGGGGCTTTTCCCACCCCAGCTCTGGCTCTGCCCTCCCTGTGCCAACAGCTTCCTCCCAAATGTTATTTTACTGATCAGTCTCCTGGGCTGGACACCTGGCTGGGAGCTGTGTCCCTTCGGGAAGAGGGACAGGACCAGGGTCAAGGTCTGTAGCTGTCCCCTCCCTGGGCAGCGGGGCAGGGACTCCCTGTGACCATGGGCATCATGGGTGGCTTTGCCCATGGCTGTGGCACTGAGGCCACACGGACAGGCTGCCCTTGGCCACCCGAGGGGAGGAGGGATGAGGATTTAGGGACAAGGACCCATCCTTTCATTTTTTCACCCCAAAGCATGTCCCAGAGCCCAGCTGGACTTTTGCCTCATTTCCTTAACCCCTCTGGCTAGAAATAAACATTTCTTCTGCAGACCTTTTTCGTGTTTCTCTGCAGCTGTGGGAGGCCAGGGAACATTCCCAGTGTCCCTTTGCTCCTACAGGACCCTCCCTGGGCTGGACTGGGCTCTGGCCTCTCTGGAGCCCGGCAGTGGGACCCTAGGGAGGCTGCGTATCACCCCCCAAATCTGCACGTCACGCACTGGTTCCAGGAAACCCTTATCTTGTACCCACAGCCCAGGGTGGGGGGGGTAAAGTGGGGCTGTGGGGACCAAAGGGGCACTGTGGGGGACCTTGTCCCACAGCACTGGGATGCAGCTGCTCCGGCAGGGATGGCAGGTAAACATGGAAGGCGACAGGCTGTTCTGCCCGGAATGCAGCACATCCCCACTCCCTGTTTCCCTACATCCCCGTGTCCTTACAACCCAGATCCCTGCGTCTGGTCCCAGCCACAGGAGAGGTCAGTATGTGTCCATATGTCCCTGCCTCAGGACAACCTGCCCTTTGGAAGAGCCTGTCAGCACAAAGAGCTGACTCTGCCCCAAAGTAGATGTGGGTGTCTGAAGTTTCCCTCCCTCATTTTTCTTTTTTTTAACTGGGAAACAGCAGGAATGTTCCCTGGGAGTGAGGCACTCTCTGGCAGGAGCTGAGGTACAAGAGGGACCTTGTGAGGGACAAACCACAGCAGCAACAGGTGATTTTTGTGTTAAAAATGACAAATATTGTGCCCAGATGTACCAGAATGAACCGATTGTTTTTTAAATGTGGTTTTAAATGTTTAACAACACCCTCAGTAAGAAGAAAGGGAAGTGAAGTGTCTTGAGGAAGTGAGAAGGTAAGATGTGAAGTTTTCCAGTGTGTTTTCTGCCTGTTTTGAAGATACTCCCCTGAAAAAGAGGAATCCTGGGAGCTCCCCCTCAGCTCCATGTCCCAGCTCCACTATTCCCCACTGGGTTCCAGTCTGAGGGGGTATTTCATAGAATCCTGAAATGCTTTGGGCTGGGAGGGATCTTAAAGCTTATCCAGTTACAACTCCCTGCCTTCATCAGGGACACCTTCCCTTAGCCCAGGATTTACAGCTGTAACAGAGCGCTTGGCCAGGGCAGGGGTAGAATTCTTAGAGAAAACACCCCAAAATTCCAGCTGTTCTTTTAACAGGAGCTTCAAAAAATTTAAGTGGTGACAGGATGGGAGCAGAAGCCAGCAGGTCTGTGCTCCCTGGCCACCACTTGCCCTTTGGCATCTGCTGAAGGGTCCCAGAACTCCAAGAGCAGGAATTTGCACCCAGATTGAAAAACCAACCCCAGCTCAGTGGGACACGGGCTGAGCGCAGCTCTCACACACACACAACACCAAGGCAATGCTTCCCACTAAATTCCATAAAATATTAGGCAAAACGAGACATCTTCCCCAAAAAAAAAAAAAAAAAAAGAAAAAGTGCAGCCCTTCCAGTACCGGCCAGCGGGGTTTTCTCTCTGGAGCAGAGTCTTCCCGCGGCATTCCAGTGGGGACAGGGCCCCCCCATCCCGGCCGTGTGAGCACTATGGAGTGGCTGGACACCAGCAGGGACACGTTGTGCGTAACTTGTGCGTATCTTACAGCTTGAGTAGTGCACTGGGTCCTACTACAGCTTGGGAATTGCACTGCAAAGTGAGGAGGAAGGAGGAAAAGCTCCGCAGTCAGTTCAGGCATTGTTGGCTTTTTTCTCGGATTCTTTGTTGGGATCCTGCTTCAGTTTGTAATCAGCCAGGGCGGCCTTGATGGCGTCTTCAGCCAGCACTGCAAACCAAAAACATGGGATTTTAAGGATCATTAGAAGGCTTTTAGGACAAGAGATGAAGGAAAAACAAGAGCAGGCAGCAGTGACCATCGCTACAGGCAACACGTGTCAGATTTGAGGAGCACAATCTGAACAGAACCCATATAATATTGAATCCACAGAATACTGGACCCATATAATGTAAATTTATGTAATATAATTTCAGATAATATAATTCAGAATCTGAACATTTATTATCACTCTGCTAAGCTACAGCTCCAGAATATTAAAGAGATCTGTAAACACTTAAATTAACCCTGAAATCTGAACATCGAGGCCAACCTTGTGCAGAAACTATTTGGAAAACAACATCCCAGAGCATCTGGGCTATTCCCAGAGTATCCTCCTGAAATCCCAGGTGTTTACTTACTGGAGCAGTGCAGTTTGACAGGGGGAAGGCAGAGTTCCTTGGCAATATCCGTGTTCTTGATTTTCAGCGCTTCGTCAACCTGGAACACAGGGAGGGTGGTCAGGGGTCCTGGTAGGTACAACACAGGCTGGAAAGGGGTTTGCTAAGAGGGTTTAATGATCCAGAGCCAACAGAATCCCAAGGGCAGAACATTTCAGCTGCCCAGGGCAGTGAGGATTTTGGAATTAAGGAATCTGACAGAGCAGGAATGAACCAACACACGCTGTCACAGACTGCCACTACTTGAGCTGCTGATCCTCTACCACAACACTGAAGTGCATTTGTTGCTGGTAGAACAGGTTTAAATGATCTCAAACCTCTCTGCAATTAAACTTTCTCCCAGAACTTGCCATCAGCCTGGTTTTGCTCATTGCATAAGACACAAAGTACTTCCCTGGTGGAATGATCACCCCTGGAAGTGCTCAAAAAATGTGGCACCTGGGGACATGGGTCAGTGGTGGACCTGGCAGCGCTGGGGGAATGGTTGGACTCAATACTCTTAGGGCTTTTTCTAACGTTAATGATTCTCTGACGATTCTTGGAAAAGGCAACTCTTGTTCTAAGTCAGGGCTGGCAGTCACTGCCTTCTAAGCTACAGCACAAATCAGTGCTGGGATTCCCTGGCCAGGGTGATCCCGACAAAGAGCACAGGCTGGTGTGAAGCTCTGAAGCTTTTCCAGGCTCCCTCACCGTTTTCCCTTTGACCCACTCGGTGGCCAGCGAGCTGGAGGCGATGGCCGAGCCGCACCCGAACGTTTTGAACCGGGCGTCCACGATCTTGCCGTTCTCGTCCACCTCCACCTGTGAGAACATTTTGGGAACACTTCAGTGCCCGCCCGGGGGGAGCAGGGCGGGCCCTGCCCCGGGCACAGGGCACGGGCAGGGCGGCTGTGCGGGAAGGCCACGCTGTGCCCTAAAGGGACACGGGCAGCTTTGTGCCTCACAGCAGCCCCATGCGACCCCTCCGCCAGGTGCCAGCGGGTCCTCAAGGTCACCTGTAGCTTCATGACGTCGCCGCAGGCCGGGGCGCCCACCAGGCCGGTGCCCACGTTCTTGGCGTTGCGGTCGAGGGAGCCGACGTTGCGCGGATTCTCGTAGTGATCCACCACCTACGAAGGCACAGTGTCACCGAGAGCCATCCAGATCCCCCCCCGTCCCTCCCCGTGCCCCGCTCGCCCCTCACCTTTTTGTGATAGCCCAGCGCGGCCGGGGCGGACCCGGCCCGGGGCCGCAGCAGCACCGCCCCCGCCGCCCTCAGCGCCGCCATCTTGACTGAGGGGCGGGCGGAGCACGACACCCTTTTATAACCTCGGGCGGGGAAGCCACGCCCCCGGCCTCTCCCACAACCGCGCCCCCTTGCCTTAGGCCGCCGGCCGCTCGGCTCTCACCGCGACCGTGGGTTCGCTGCGCAGACCGAGCGAGCGTTGGGGGCCGCCCGCGGGAAGGGCCTCACGCTCCTTCTTAAACGATCAATAAGTAAATAAACGATGGAGGCGCTGTTTCTGTCGCGACAGGCGTTTTATCGCGATACCCGGCGCGTGTGCTGGACGCGCCGGCCACACTCAATATGGCGGCCGAGCCGCACCGCGCACGCCGCGGACCCTCCCAGAGGCCCCATGAGGGCCGCGTAGCGGGGTGCCCGCAGCATTGCCTGCGCCACACTCCGGAATACAAGGGGTCGCGCCGCCGCTCCGCTCAGCGCAGCTCGGTCCCGCTGCGCGGCCGAGCGCGGGACGGTGCGAGCGGAGTATCACCGCTCTTCCCGCCCTGTTCGGCTGGCGGCGGCGCGGCACGGCGGGACGGGCAGCGCCGGGGCAGCCGCAGCGGCCGGCGGAGCTCGGCGGCCGGCGAGCGGAGCTGCATAAGATGGCGGCGGCGGGAGCCGAGGCGGCGGCCGAGGAGGAGAAGCGGCTGCCGGAGGGAGACCCCGAGTCGGGCGGAGACTCGGATGACGAGGGGGACTCCGACTCCTCCGGCGACGGCGAGGATGAGGAGAAGGAGAACGAGGCTGAGATCCAGCGGCTGGAGGAGCAGGTGGGCCCGGCGGGCAGCGGGTGTGGCGGGAACGGAGGATAAGCCACGACTGTGCCTGTACTTTGATGCTGGGAAGTGTCAAGACGTGGATTTCCGTGGTCCTTGCGGTTCTCGTCCAATTCGGGATATTCCGTGGTTTTAAGACGCGAGTGTTTGGAGTCTGAAGTGAAAACTGAGCGTTTGGGGTGGCTTTTTGCGAGGGAAATCAGCGAGTGGAGCCCCAGTGCGCCGTTTGTACTCATTGAGGCAGCTCAGCCGCCTGTGGGGGGGCTTCATTGGCTTTGAAGAAATTAAAGCACGTTTTTCTCTGTGAGCAGCGACAGGACCCGAGGAAACGTCTGGAGCTGTGTCAGGGCAGGGTCAGGTTGGATCTCAGGCAAGGGTTCTTCCCCCAGAGGGTGGTCGGGCCCTGAACAGGCTCCCCAGGGCAGTGGTCACGGCCCCAAGGCTGCCAGAGCTCAAGGACCTTTTGGACAACGCTCTCAGGGACAGGGTGGGATTGTTGGGGTGTCCTGGGCAGGGCCAGGAATTGGCCTGGGATGATCCTCATGGTCCCTTCCAGCTCAGGATATTCCATGAGTTGGCTCTTAAAAAGAGACTCTTCATTCGGGTGCATTGTGCAGCTGGAATCTGTCGTGCTTCTGCTGCATTGGGTTTTATGAGCAGTAACCCTGGGAGCTTAGAGGCATGAGCTGAGCACTAAGCTTAACTTAAAGCTCTTTTAAACCTGAAAGCGTTTTTTAAAAATGTCTCTGTGTGACCTGGAAACACCTTACAAACAAGCGGGAAGTTTGTTG